TTCCACAATGTTGCAGCATGACCCTGGGGAATTTTATTGCTTAAGCCTAAAATGTTTTATGGTGTTATTTTACCAAATGGCCATCGTTTTTTTTCCAGTATAGATTAAATACATATTATACTAGCATTATGGGAATACTTTGTGTTCTCCAATCATTGTCGTACATACAGTGCATTCATCATAGGTTCATGTGTCCCTCAAATGGCAGAGCTACTGCTTGTTTATGGCTGTTCTTGTTGAGTGTAATCCTCTCACTATGCTAAATCTATCACTGTTTGATATATAGTCAATTGAAGAACACAAAGAAACACTTTGTATTATGTTATTTGAGGTAAAAGAGATACTTTATTCATCCACATGTTGCCTCTTTCTATTATCCAGTTCAGTACAAACATGTCAGTGATACAAGCAAGAAACCATAAGATGATCAGCGACACCAAAATAAAAATAAAAACTTTTATTGTTATCTGTTTTAAAATAATGCAAGGGAGGTACTAGAAAACATGCTCCTGCAGAGGTGTGTGCTTTTTGTACCTGCCTTGCATTCTTTGTCAGACTATAAAAGGCACTGATTAACACCTATTTAAATCAATATCATGTTTTTTAAGGGTTTCCACTATAAAAATTCACCAAACTTCCTTTACTGGAGATATATCTACTGGCAAGAAACCCGTTCCTCCCGTGCCTGTCAGCTCAAGTGAGTGTCAGGCTCAGTGTCGGATAACCTCTCACCTTCCCGAGCCCATAATTGACACTCAAAAAACAGTCATGTAACAAAAATATTGGCAGGGTCACATGGGTCCTCTTCTACCTTGCGCTGAGCTTAGGCAGGAGTCAGGTCAGTCCAAATGGGAGCTTTACATCATGATGCCAAGCTGACATTTCTGCTCTGACAGGAAATTAAACAACAGTACATATCACACTAAAATATCAACTTTATTGTGGTGATGCAGATTGCAAATACTCATTCTTAAAGTGACATTATTGTCAAAAGATAAGATTTTTAAGCGATTTATTGCTAATGCTAATGCCTATGCTAATGCTAATAAAATCACTTACAATGAAAACTGCTATTCAATGTTTAAAAGTTTAAGTTTCCTGCAGAATCAGCTTGTCTTCTAAGGACTAGGCCTGATATCTTGTTTTTCGATGGCTCCTTTCTTTGTCAGGCTAGGACTGTTTGCAAACTTTGAGGATTACTAACCTGTTGGACTGGCTATACTACACAGAGAGGACAGCTCACTTATTGCCTCTATACTGGCTTTGTTATTGGATCTTTTTTTGCAGGCTGAAACAGCAGAGATACTCTGGGGTCCCGGTATAGGACAGTTACACCCGGTCCAATACCCGAAGTACCTTTAACTTCTTTGTTGTTGTTAATTCCTTGGATATGGAACTGGAACACACTGACTGCAATGCAGTGTGTACCCCCCTGGCATTAGCTGCCTCCAATTGTACCCTAACTGGTTGTTCTCCTGGTGCCTGAACTGTTTTCCCCTTGTACAGCAGGACACATTGCCTGGTTTGGTTATCTTCGTTTTGAGACTTTTGCATGAGGATCTGAATCTAATTTGATAAGTAGGTTTTTAAATAAAGAGTATTATTCTTCTATCACACTGTGTCTGCCTGATGCCTGAGCGTCACAGAGCTACTGTGACAATGACCCACTCCACATACGGTAGTACAAAATGCTCAATAAATCTATGCAAAGAGTTTCATTACCTGCAGGTTACTTAATTTGCCTCAATAAACGCTTAAAGAGTTTGGAAATCCTCAGTACAGGTACTTTAGAAAACAATGGCAAGTTAGTGTGTTAATATGTAAATATACATATTTTAGTGACGCAGAATAATTATGCTAAAGGCACAACATTTTTAGAGGTGCAGTTGTGTTTTTGTGTATTAAAGTTTACTTTTGTTTCAAATTGAATGAACAAAAATAGTTATTTAAAATAAAGGAAAGATAGATACCTTGCTTTCCTCTCTCACACACACACACACACACACACACAGGAAAAAACATTTTTATTGAAATTTTCATTCATGGAGCTCATTGCAATTTTTGTTATCTCATCATCTGATAAAAATGGAGTTAAAAATATTTTAAAAAGTCTAAGGGCTCATTCACACCAGTGCTATGCCTTAATCACACGGTTCCATGTGCATTACAGTGCGGCAGGTGCTTTGTGGTGCTCGACTGCACAGTAGCACGCTGTACCTCATTCACTCCTTTTTTCAACTGCACTGCCCCACAACACATGGTATTGTGGCATTGTGTGTTACGGCACGGTCTAGCGCATTGCAGCCGGGAGGTGCATTTGGGGTGCCATTAAAATGAATGGCAGCGCAACACACCTGCAGCACTGTTAACGCACATAGTTACATAGTTACATAGTATTTGGGGTTGAATAAAGACATACGTCCATCAAATCCAACCCATATAGGTCCACACATCATCTCATTCTTAGGGATACTGGTATCCCTGGATATTACGGTCCCTCAAGAAATTGTCCAAACGTTTCTTGAACAAATCTACACTCTTGGCTGAAATCACTGCCGATGGCAGTGAGTTCCAGACCTTAACCGCTCTTACTGTAAAGAACCTTCTTCGCCCATTGTGCTGGAATTTTTTCTCCACCACCTTTAGGTGGTGGCCTCTAGTCTTTGTAATGGAGTTAATCTCAAACAGTGCATTGTGTGATTAACGCACGGCCCTAGCGTTAACAAGCTCTTAAGGAAACAGGTTACATGACCTTCAATTAATTTGTTTGGAAACAGATTTGATGTTATTAAACTTAAAGGGGCTCATGTAAAAAACTTCTACCCAGCATAAAGCTGGAAGAATGCCATTCGTACTGCATCACGGCCACTAAATGGCATTAAATCCCCACTTTCTCTGCGGACAGACGCACTTTGAAATTGTTCAGAGTAGCTTGCAGTCTACCAAAAGGCCTGCTCTTAAGAAACATCTAAAAGGTAAGAAATATTAGGGACTGATGTGAAAGTGCACTATGTAATGCGCTGCGTAAATTGTCAGTGCTATATAAATACCAATAATATTCATAATAAAAACATATTTTTAGATATGTTGGGTGAATAGGAACAATGGTAATGGGAATAACATACATAGTGGGGGTTTTGTCAAATTTGACTGCAAAAGTGAAAATACACTTTAACACTAGAATTTGGAATCAATTTTTTTCTCCATAAACTTTGTATCACAATTGGAATTACAGTTATAAGTGCAAAAAAAACCATATCCAATAAATAAGGTCAATGGATCCTTATATTAAAAAATAAAATAAAATATTAGCCTGACATGTTTGTTTGTCAAATCTAATTTTTTTGGGCAAACTGGAAATTTCCTTTGCACAAGAAAATTGGCATATAGATTTGTCTGATGTGTAAAGCATTCCTCAATCATGGATCAGAGAGTTCACGTGGGAGCCTGCACTCTTTGACAAAGTGTGGCCACCCACTGTCACATGTGAGAGCTGATGAAAGAACTTGTCCTCTGTTGCAAATTAACAAAGAAACCGTTTTAACTCAGAGGGCTTGTTTGTAAATTTTTATTTCAATCTGAATAAAAAATCTGCATAATGCCAAAAAGGATTAAATTGCCAGATCACTGAACTGGTGTAAGATACCTAGACATTTCTGACCCTTAATGCTATTAATAATATTATTAGAGACATGCAAAACCGAGCTTTCGCTTAAATTACAGAGCAAGTAGGACGATTTTGGTAAAACCTTTCCATTCATGGAGTTAATGGGACTGGTAAAAATTAAGGTATTTTTGGTGTTTTTAAGGGTGCAATGTGCTTTAAATGGCTCCTAAGGATTATAGAAGCTGCTTTTGCGAACCTGTTCTTGATATAAAACGCTTCCCCTTATTAGTCTATGCACGAAAAGAAAAAAACAGACAGCAAAATAAAAAATTTAAATTAAAGCAACAGTACACAAATCACGATAACATTTACAAACAAAGGGCAAAATTAAACTAATATACCATTTCTGCCAACCTTTCATATAAAGAGAAAAAAAAGTAGGTTTTCTTTTTCAAGCAGTTTCTCCACCACTCAGTGAGCAAAAGGGAGATTTTGTTAAAATCATTCCGCTCATCCCTAAACATGACATTTTGCACATCATCCTAAACTGTATCAAACCACAGTGTCCTTTTTTTAGATGGTGTAAATGCTTTGTTGTTGCTCCAACCATTTTATAGTAAAGAAGATAGAGTGTTGCATCTCTGCCATCCATATGAAATACAAACTAATTCCAGCTTAACACTCTTTCTTCCTATAAAATGATCGTTGATCTGATATAGTAAAGTGTGCTCTTGACGGAGTGGGAGATTACTGCTCATAAAAGAAACACACAGCTGGCTCCCAATTCTTCCCTTGGCAAATAAACAAAGATAAAGTGTAGTAATGAAAAATAATACTATCGTCATAAACCACAAGAAAAAAGCTCAACTGAAGCTATTTCACAAGAGTTATTTACTCACAATGGTGGAGGCAACAATGGTGGAGGCAAAATATGATTTACTATAAAAGTT